CTTTATTGTCTTCTAAGGAATTGATAAGCCTCTCGCTTCTGGCACCAACTCCAAGGTCTCCTTTCTAGTTACAATATCTCTTCAGATGTGCAACAAAGCAGAATCAACCGGATCCTCTAAGGAGACGAGTCAGAGTCACTGTGAGAACAGAGGACAGCCTTTCTCAGAGCGTTGTTTATTATCATCAGTTGTTAAGCACGCGTAAAAGTGCTTAACACGGTACCTCTGCGTAAAGCAGGACTTCGAGGACAGTCAGTCCTCCGGTGAGGGGTGCGGGGCGGGGGCGTGAGGGAAGCAGCGCATCCGCCCTGGCAGACGCTGGGGAGGAAAGCCTCTCCTGCGCCTCTGGGTTCTCTGGCTGGTCTAATAATTACATTGACAGAAGACAGATTATCAGGAGAAAAACAAATTTAATTTCGGGTGTACGGGAACCTATACAATATGAGACTCTCTGACCAGAGCAGGCAGCTTTAATACCTTTTGGCCAAGGAAACAATAAACTTGTGAAGAATTGACAAAACAAAGGGGTTTGTCCTGAGGCGGTAAATTTGGGAAGAAGTCCCAGGGTTTGTTTACCCAGCCCCCTTGGCACTGAATTCCCCGTTCCTGGCGGTAAGGGAAGGGCAGCTTCACATGGGAGGTTCCTTGACTGCTTTCAGGGGACAGGGCAGGGTCCTCTTTCGGCACCTGTGCTTTTGAGGTGGCTTATTTCACTCCCCTCCAGTTCTGCCTTTGAAACTGAGTCGGTAAATTGCTCTGTCGAACTAGTGTCTTAGTCTTGAACACGAATCAGTGCGGGTCAACAGCTGCGTCTCATTTTAGGCAGCGGTGCTGAGGGTGGGCCCCCACAGCCAGTCCCACGTGGCGCGTCAGGTATTTAATAAGAGATATTTCTATGGAAGCGGAAGAAAAGCAATGGCTAATGGGCAGGGCAGACCACAAGCCCGGCTTCTGGGTCTCGAAGGCAGCGAGGCGGGACAATCTCTCGATGTCGGGCTTGCAGCATCTTCAGGTGAAGGGAAGCAGGTGGGGGCGTCCTGACAGATTTTCCTGGTTTGCGGACGGAACATCTCTGGTGGTCTTTCTGAGTGGCTCACACAGCAAGAGGCACGAAGATGGCCCAAACACGCGCCGTGGTGGTGAACGCGCCCAAGTTTACATCCAGTGGCCCAGCTTTTAGCTTACGTGGCTTTGGGAAGAGGTGATTTGAGTTCTCAGTGATGCCAAGTCAGAAGGGTGAGGAAAAATTGGAAGCATGAGTTTGGAGAGTTGTAGCCAAATGTCGGAGGAGTCTGGAAGAAGGCAGGATCCCATTCGATTTACAGGTAGAAAGCAAAACCTCAAAGACCATGACCAGAACTAGAATCTAATATCCATAAATGTGTGTTTTCATTTCTACTCAAACGTAATTTTTCTCTCTACACAGAAGATGCTAGACTGGAAACTCAGGCTAGAAATAGGGAACAGGGCTAGTCCAGTATGATTACCAAGCTTCCAAATAGAAGCCTTCCACTAGTTACGACAAGAAAATTGCATGTGCTGTCCTTTGAGAAGATACAGCCACTGTTAAAGCCACATCATTAAAAAAAGAAAAAGTAAGCCACACCAGGATAAATAGAACCAGGCTCACTCACTTTCATAAAGAAGTGAAGAGGCACAGCTTCCCAAACCTGCTCATGTCAGTATTCACAAAGGAGGGTGGTAAATATGGGGTGCACCCAAGACCCTTGGGGGTAGAGTTTGAAATTACCTGCTGTAAACCAGAAATTTACTTATGATTTCTCATTTTCACTTTAGAAAGCTCTCTGTGGATTGTGCATTCTATTCCCTAATATTCTCATTTCCATTTTAATATAAAAATAATGTTGTAAATGGCCATTTGTGCGTCCCAGGCCCCTACAGGGTTTAAGTGTCTCGACTTAACAAGCAGCAAGTGGAGAACATAGTTTGACCCATACAAAGTGCTTGGAAACCCTGTGAAGATTCGGATTCAGACTCTATGCCCAGGACAGGCTCCCAGATTCTGCGTATCTGAACAAACTCCCAGGTTGTTCCTGTGCAGCTGGTCCAAGAGCTGCACTTTGAGCAGCAAGGGTGTAGACCAGCAAGTTGCACAGGGATCTCTGGCCAGCTGCTGCAGCATCTCCTGAGAACTCGCTACAAACGCAGACTCTTGGCCGCTCATTCACATCTACTGAATCCGAAACTCCAGGGATGAGGCCCAGGAATGCGTGTTTTTAGCAAACCCTCCAAGAGGGCTTCTGTGGTACAGAGATGGCTTCAGGGTCCATGCAGATGGCTTAAAACCGAGAAATGGAATTTCCTGGACCTGATTCAGGAGCCGAGAGTCAGAGCCGAACTTGCTGTGACCAGGGAAACAAACACGCTGCACAGTGAAGACCCAGAGGGGGTCCCCGGGGGAGGGATCTGTAGGCATCTTCCCACTGGAAGAGTCACGGCGCAGAAACAGAGTAAGTTACAAGCCGGATAAATTCACACACACGTGACAGGACCCTCGGTCCCGCGAGAGTCTGTCACTTGGAGTTTTCCTTCCACCGTCTTCCTCCCTCACAAAGATGAGACAGGCTTTTCTTCAAGATTTGAGGGTCCACGTTCATTTACATCCTCAGCACTGAAGGGCTGCAAACAAATGTTCCCTGCAGAGTGAATGGTAGCACTCAATCCTTTAGGGGCCGTGGATATTTTCGTTTTTAAACAACTTCATGTTACAGTTATTGAAGAATTGACACCCCCTTGGCCAACCCAGGGAGGCTGCATGCTCTTTGAGAAGCCAGCTTTATGAAAAAGGCCTTCCTTCTGCCCACATCTTTCCCTGCCTCTACCCTCTCCTCCACCGGAAGTGTTCATTCCAGCTTCCAGAGTATCTGCTTGGTTGAAAGGTTTAAATCATTCATTTTACTTTAGAATTAATATGTGACACGGAGTAGTAGGCGTTCGTGGCAGGAAATTAATGTCTTGGGAAAATATTATCTGGTGAGATAAATACATACCATATGGTGTGTCCTGTGTATTATCTAATGCATCTCAGGCATGTTTCCTGGGAATTGTACCTAGGTGGTGAAAAGCAATGGTTTTCCCATAAATTCTCCTGTGCCAAGGTCTTGCTTTGCACAGACGTGAAGGGTGTGCCCGGGTGAATGCCGTATTTGAATGTGGACCTCAGGGACTAGCAGACCATGCTGACGCACAGCGGCAGAGCCAGGAAATACTTGGTTGGTTGGACCTTTTCTAATTGTTTTCTTTTTCTTTTTTTTCTTTTTGATCAAAAGCAAAATCAAAGCTATTTTCGGTACAAAACCAAATTCTAAACAACACCCAGTAGAATTAGCCAAGCAACATTTCACCGGAAAATCACCTACAGAATTCAGTGCGCAATTTAGAATTAGTAATTGGTGTGTTAAATGGATGTGCGGAGAGAGTGCCGAGGGGATGAGTCAACACTTCTGAAAGAACCTTAATTTCAGGATTTCCTGAGTGAGTGCTCCAAATTATAAGCCTACCTCCACATTAGCACATGGGTTAGAGATGTCAGGTCACCCAGACATCGGTTGTGTGCATAATTTTAAAAAGAATAAATACCACTTAGGAAATTGCTCTGGTTCATTCTGCCAAAAGGAACACCCTTTCTGGGCACGTAGCCACCAAGCAGTTGTGCCGCTTTCTTGGTGACTATGGAACCCTGAAACACGGTCTGCAATTTTATCAAAGGATTCATTGCAGTGACTCAGGGCATAATCAGGGATAGCAGCTGTTAGAACCTAGAATGATGGCCTGGGGTTCCTTAGAAGGACATTAGCTTTCATCTGAACATACTGTTGACCTTTCAGTTATTTATTTAAACTTGAGTCCTACCATCTTACTGTCTCTACTGCCCACAACCATCACTTCTTATCAACTAACGTCTAAGATTCGGCAATAGCCCCTGTATGTCTCCTAGGCTTCAGTCTTGCCCAGCACAGTCCATCTTCTATGCAACAGCCAGCACGAGCCTTCGAGAGCTTCTTACCCAGCTGAGGCTCCCGGGCAGGAAGGGCAACCCACTCCTGGAGCAGCTATCTACAATGGCAGCCCTTCAGGTCTCCCAAGATGGGAAGGGCTCCCACAGTCAACTCACCACTATAGGACCTGTTGGTCCCTTGGCACCAGCTCAGGGGCTCACTGTTGGGGTCTGCGGCAGACAAGTTGGACATTCAAAGCCAGCAGTGGTGAGACAGGCCTTGGGGAGTGGACTTCATGCTGCTGGACTTGGTCGTAGCCTGTCTCTGCCACCGTGGCCGTCCTGTCCTTGGGACTGTTGTGTGACTTCTGCATGGCTGATGATGAAACGGACCAATGTCAACTGGCCAAGTCACTGTGTCTGCTTAGTCACTCAGTGCCACCTCTGTGATGCGCTCAGGTGGGCCTGAACATGTGATGTAAACATCGTACACTCTGTGCCCACTCAGATTGTCCATCCCCATGCCCCTCTCCCAGAACTCCTGGTCTCAACCTCCCCTTCCTTTCCCTTCCAGGCCACTGCCCGGTAGCCTGTCTGTTTTTGCATCTCAGGCAATGTGAGGGTCAATGCTTTGCCCGTTAGGAAAACTTTCCCTTTCTCCTGCCTTTCAGTCACCTGCGAATGTGGCCTTACTGCAGCCCCCATCCTTTTTTGGCTTGCACGCACATACAGAGCCAACCTGTCTGCACATCAGCCTTGACTTTTCACTTCCTTAGGGATGGACTGGGTGCGCTGGTGAGACCACAGCTGGTGAGGGGGCCTGGCGCTACCTGCTAATGCGTCTGACCTGTGCCCTCTGGTTCTGTTCGGACTCGGCCTTGGCTGCCCTGCTTCCATCTTGTAATGGTTTTCTGGGCTTATTGACTTTAGGATGTGGAGGGTCCAAGAGAACTCAGCTCGTAACAGCAAGTTCTGGATTCATGGTCACTTGGTGCTCCATCGCCCAGCACTCCGACTCCAGCAGGGCTAGTGACATGGCGGGTTTTAGTTTTTTAAGGACCCTCCATACCGTTCTCCATAGTGTCTGCACTAATTTGCACTCCCGCCCACAGTGTGTGCGGGCTCCCTCCTCCCCACACCCTCTCCAGCATTTATTAGTTGTAGACTTTTTAACAATGGCCATCCTGACTGCTGCTAGGTGCTACCTCTTTGTAATTTTCATTTGCATTTCTCTAATGATTAGTGGTGTTGAGCATTTTTTCACGTGCTGATAGGCCACCTGGATGTCTTCTTTGGAGAAATGTTTCTTTAGGTCTTCTGTCTGTGTTTTGATGGGGTAATTTGTTTTTTGTTACTAAGTTATATGAGCTGTTTGCCTCCCACTTTAAAAAAGGAGATACATGAATGACAAACAACATAAAGATATGCTTAACATCACTGAGCATTGGAAAATGCAAATTAAAACCACGATAACATACCACTACATATGCACTGGAATATAGCAAACGAGAAAGACTGACAATACCGTCGGTTGCTAAGGATCTAAACCCTAGAATGCTCATATATTGCTGGTGAAAGGCAAAATGGTCCAACCGATCTGGCAACCACCTTGGCAGTTTCTGATACAGTTAAACACGCACTTAACATATAGTCCAATGATTCTTTTACCACATATTTACCCAAGATAATGGGAAATATATGTTCCTACTTGTAAATTAGTGTTCACAGCAGTGTTGTTTAGACTGGCCCCAGAGTGGAATCAGTCTCCATCTGAGCACATCCGTGGAGTCACACAATGGAATAACCACTTAGCGATAGTAGGGAAGAACCTGCTGATTGCGCAACAGCATAGAGCAATCGCCAAAGGATCATGCTACGTGAAAAGGGCCAGAGATCAAAGGTGGCGTAATTCTATTTGTATAAAATTCTAGAAAAGGCAAAACTATAGTAGTAGGTCAGTGGCTTCTAAAACCTGGAGATGAAGATGAAGACGGATGGAAAGTGAGCACGAGGGAGCTTTGTCTGGGTGATGGAAATGTTCTGTGTCCCATCAGAGAAGAGGTAGTTACACAACCCTACACATTCGTCAGAACTCATTGAATTTTACACTTACAGTTGGTGAACTTCACTGCATATAAATCATAGCTCAATAGGCTGATTTTACAAATTAAGAGAAGATACAGTAATGGCAGGGACATAAAATGCACCTGGAATAAGATTAAGAATAAAGGACCATTTTGATTCTAAGATTTCTAATCGCTATCCTGAAAATGATAACCTGGCCATTTAGAAAATGTGCTGTTCTTGGTTGTGAGCTGGAATAGGAATTCCACTCTGCATAAAGTGAGCACCATTTGAAATCAGAACAATATAATTACAATGGACAGGAGACAGTGACGTTCACTGAACTGTCTCACATATTGACCCATCGTACGAGCAACTCGGTGAAGCAGTTTCGGGAGATAGTCCTTAAAATCCTGTGTAAATTAGCAGTTCTTCACTGAGCTATCTTAATCCATGGTGAAATTTCAGCGTATTATGAGGTTGTGGAATACAGTGCAATCTTCAATTATTTTTTTCCTAAATGTAATTTCTCTCAGTAGGGCATTTGATGAGCATTGGCAACAAGCTCAAGGTTGCATTTCTTGGCATGGACAGTGACATAAGCTATTCTGTGGTGCCACCAGCCCCCCTCGTCCACCTCCACCAGACAATGGGACGCACCACTGAGCTGGAAGGAGAAGTGACCTGTGGGTTGAAGTCAAGAGCTCTGACAGGGGGTGACTCTGCACCTTTATTCTTTAAGCAATATTCTTTTATATTTTCACAGGAGAAACACACAGGGGTTAATAGCTTTTAGCTGTGACCTTCTCTGCAGCCTATCAGAGACTAAGGAATTTGAGTCAATCGTACGTTTTTATGAGATTCAAGTATATAAAAGAACGAAGGTATGCCAAAATAAATCTCTCAGTATTGTAATAAATATAATGTTAGGAACTGAGGCCTTACTATGAGTTAATAGTAGCTCGTCCGTCTGGTCCGTGCGTCTGTGCGACTGCATGTTGACCTCATTTGGAGATGTCAAAAATTTACACTGAAGCCTCCGAAGCCCACACTCTCGACCATCCTGGTAGAGGTTCAACCTTACCAAGTGGCCAATTATTAATCATTTGTTACCCACAAAATTAGCAATTGCGTGTGTTTCCGCCTAACGGAATGCTGAGCTGGACTCCAGCTGTGTTCATCCGAGTCCCCACACACGGGACGTGCTTGTCCCTACTGCCGCTCAAGAAAACGCAGCAACTTCTCATCTGAATTTGGCAAATCCAGTATTTATTATACCTGAATGCTTTTGGCTCCAGGGCAAAGAGATTTTAAAGACATTTTAAAATTCATGTCTCCTTTGTGAGGAGGTAGGAGACACAGTAAAGGTGATGAGGGCTCAACAAACAGGAAAACTTCCCAATGATGAGAGCTGTCAAACAAGGCTGATGGCCACTGAGGACTGTGACGGGGGGCTGTCGGGGGCAGGGGGGGCTTTGACCCGAGAGGCACCCTCCAAGGAGGGACCTGCCAATCCAGAACATCTCCCCAGGTTTGCTCCCTCCCAGCGACGCAGCCAGGACCGGAGCTGGGCATCCCCGCTGGGCCAGGGTGTCGTAACCTGGCTCTGCTGGATGCTGTACTGGGGACGCTCTGGGTTTTATTCCACATGCCGACATTTAGAGACCAAAAGCAGGGGAATTCTACTGAAAAACAGGGAGGTTCCTTTTGTTCTACTTGAAAAAAAATTGCCATTGAGAAAAGATTTTGAGAGAAATGATACAATGTTCTTAAGAAGCCTGTGTTGAATCCTGAAACTCCATAGCTGAGTCTCATAAAGACAAATGACTTTCTTGCCGCCAATGGCCCACTAACCCAGCTGGATTTCCTTCTTCTGGGCAGAATCCTGGAGTTCTTTAGATGTTCAGCACTGGGATTTCAAAGGGCTGAATTTGCTGGAAATTGACTCTGGAGGATAATCTGATCAGGACCGCCTCCCTCATCTGCACTTTCTTGGTTCACGGCGCTTACCTGTGTTCACCTTGATGACAGAGCCGCCCAAAGAACTGCTCTCAAAGGTGGCCAAATTGCATGGCTCTGACTTAAGCTGGAAGCCAGGGCTGCAGCCCACATCCCACACACCAGCTCAGCTGGCTCATCCCGACACATAGGACCCCAGGACGAACAATGCCTGAGATATAAAACCTACCCCGCCTCGAGGCTGCACAGGATGAGATGCAGTAATTGTCCCCTTCCTTCCAGGCCATGTTCACACACAGCGCCCCCAGTCCCCGAGCTGGGCAAGGAGAATGTCCCATTTGCTGTGAAATCGGGTTTTGTTGCAGAAAAACGTGTTACAGCTCAGTTGTGACAGCAACCTGGATCCAGGGAAGAGACAAGACAGCACTCAGAGAGTTGAAGAACTCAGGTTTATTACGCCAGCGGGCCCACAAGAGTTAACACTTCAAACACTGGACCCCAGCTGTAGGTTTACACAGGCCTTTATAGGCTGCCGGTTTACACTTTGCAGCATCTTATGCAAATAAGGTATAACAAAAGTTGACTAATTAGGAACAAGCTTTGTAGAAATGGACTGATCAAGAGGGAGAGAAATAACCAATCAGGAGTGAGCTCAGGGAACCAATAGAATCTTAGGGGTCAGTTCCACTTTCCTAGAAGTAAGCCGATTCAGAAGCAAAAAGTGAGATAGAGCCTCTGGGCCGGGGAACCAGATGGTGCTGGCAGGAGAATACTGGCCCTGCCTGGGGGTCCTGCCGGTCTTTTTATGGGGCTTCCCGCCTCAGTTTCACTGAATACAGATCGTCATGCTCATTCAGCTCAGTGGGTCTTACTTTCCCAAAAGCCATTTACATGGGGGAACTAGTGTTTGTCCCTCCCTTACCCGCATCCACAGAGCATTCAGTGATAAGGACCGAGTTAGAAGTCATTTCTTGGGTTTTCCTTTGATGTTTCCAAAGGGAGGAGAGATTCTCTGCATCCCTCTGTGTGTTCCCTGATGGTGCGGTGAGCCCTGGCACAGCTGGGATGGGAGTGTCCTGTTTGCAACCCACTAATCACTCACTGAGTGGCCAGACTTCTGATGTGTCTCAGCCAGGAGGCGTGTGGTTTACCCCTCCAGAATGCCATTCTGTTTCCTGGCTGTCCAGGATCTCTGGAGTCAGGATCAGGTTAAGATGCCCATTCCCACCTCCCTGGTCCACCCCTATCACAGGCTGATAGGTCGTCACTTTCTGCTCCTTAGTTTTTTCACTGGCTCATAGACCCTGAACAGAAGCAGCCACTGAGAGCCTCCTCCCAGCTGAAGTGACCAAGAGCTGAACAGCAGGGCCATGCGCCCTGCGCCTCCTCCCCCAGGAGGTCTGCCTGGCTCTGCTCGGCCCATGTCATCTTTCCTCACTCTCCTTGCTGGCTAGACAGCCCCAAGGCATATGCACAGTGCCTCCATTTTCCTGCATCCCTTTACTCCTCCGCTCGCAGGCTTTGGAATCCTAATTTCTGGTTCTCTGGATTGACTCCCATTTGCATTATATTATTCAGTCTCTTCTCCTTCAAGTTTTCCCCTAATATAGTTCACGCTAAAGGCTGCTGTTTAAATCTTTATTGCAGGAGAATTTCTAGGGGGTTGGCAATTAGAAGAAGGAACTATGGGAAATTCCTTCCCCTGTTCCCAGTCAGCTCAGAGCTCTTGAGAGGAGAAAACAGCAAATATCATCGCTGATGCCAGCCATGCTCTTACCATAAAGGCCAAGAGGCAGAAATGGTTTCTTTGTGTCAGTGCATGTGTGTATTTTAGTTGGTAAAGGAACACCCTACTTTTGTGTGTATGTGGCTGGCCTGGACAGGAGGATTGAGCTGAGAGGATGTTCTGTGGTGTCACACCAATGTATATATATATATATATATTACTATATTTATATAGTATAAATTACTATATATAAAATAGATAAACAACAAGGACATACTGTATAGCACAGGGAACTATATTAAATTTCTTGTAATAGCCTATAGTGGAAAATAAACTGAAAAGAAAGTAGATATATGTATGTATCACTGTACATTTGAAACCAACATTATAAATTAACTACACTTTGATAAAAAATAAAATAAATAAAAAAATTTTTTTTAAACTCACCATATCTTTTTTTCACATCCAGATCACATTAAAGACCCATTTACTTTATTTCAAAAAAGTGCCCCTGATTCAGTCCTGAGTCTCTGGCTATCACGGGCATCCGTACGTGACTGAGCCCCATAACTGTAGCCTCTGCCTAGTCATCACACATTTATGAACATTTTGAACCATGATTTTTACTTTTTAACCTGGGGCTCTTCAACTTTCCTAAAGGGAGAAATCCAGATGATTCCATCAGACCTTATGCTATCATATTAGCTATAAAAGAATAACAATAGGGAGTAAGAATAAATGGAATAACACCAGCCAGGTGAGATAATTAAACCCATCTTAATCCCTTCATACTGAGAGAGGAATGTCAGCCAGTTTTTCTTCTTCTTTCTTTATTTTTTTTTCACTGTGTAAGCTTCAGCTCTTATTTCATTTCAAACAGCTCTCCCCATCAGGGCTTGTTTTACAGATGTGAATTCACGGAATGAATTAGGTTTTGCTCACGGCATTTGGTTTAGTGATAATCTGCTTCTCAGAGGAGGGGAAATGAAAAGGAGAAAAAAATTAGCAAAGAGCATCTACCTTACAATGAAATCTAAAGCTACTGAGAGAAAAGCACTTCCTGACCGAGGCAGGTCTCTGATGGCCACATCTGACATGATCAATGAACCCGACTGCAAAGGGGGAGGAAAAATCACTGTCAGAACTCGCTGGATGTGTAAAAGTGAAGTGAAAGTCATTCTTTAATGTGGACAAGGTGTGGATGGATAAAATGCTGTCATTAAGGGAGGCCAATAGGTGACACCCCCAAAGAGGTGAGATCCCGGTCATGGGACACTGTGGAAGACCTGCAGTGAAGAAAGACGCTCTGGAGTCCCAGGTGGGCAACACTTCCTTTCTCTTTAGTGACCCTGTGGAGTCATGGAATGAGACACTAAAATGACAACCCATTGTCCTGAGCCTGGGCTGCCTCACCTGGAGGCAGTCTGTTCCCTCACTTGGAGAATGAGAGGAGGTAGACCTGCCCCAGCTGTCTTAGAAGATGGCACCAGCCTCCGAGGAGATGGAGGAGCTGAGTCAGCTTCACAGAGGCTGCAGGTAGAGAGTGTCCAGGTGCCTGAAGGTGCAGTCAAGCGACTCTGACTTTTCACTGCCTGGGCTGTCTTTTGTGGAAGACTCTCTAAGGGCAGAAAGTAGAGGATGGAGAATTGTGCTCTATGGGAGGGTAGCAGAAGGGTGGGGAAAGAGATTTCTGGTTTGCTTCGGTTCTCATCAATTGCAGAACACTTCAACAGACTCGGCTGCTGTCTTTTAAGTGAAAAGTTCAAAGAGAAGCAGCTAGAGTCATTTTTCGAAGCGGACATCTGGTGACATTATTCCTCTGTTTAAAATCTCACAGTGGGTACTAACTACTATAAACTATAAAAGAGATAAACAACAAGGTCCTACTGCAGATCACAGGGAACTATATTCAATACCTCGTAATGACCTACAGTGAAAAAGAATATGAAAAGGAAAATATTTTCAGATATATATATATATATAAAATATATATGTTCTTCTTCACTATATATACATATATATATATACACACACAGATATAACTGAACCACTATGCTATACACCAGAAACTAACACAACATTGCAAAATGACTAAATTTCAATTTAAAATAATAATAAAATCTCATGGTGCTTCCTCAACATCTCCCAGGAGAAAGAATCCAATGCCTGAGAATGGCCTGAAAGCCACAAAGTGGAAATCCTACTTTGGTTAGATGATTAAGTGAGAAACTAGTACCATTGGCCACGAATCCATGGCCACAATAGCAAGAAGAATGAAAAATGAAAGAATATTGGTAATTCTGCCTGGAGCCTAATTTGACTTTCTTAGAGGTGCTGAGGAGTCTTTGGAACTCAAATGAGAAACCTCTTTGATTAATTAAAAGGATTGAAAGAGAATTTAAAAGAGGCTTCCTCAGGGGCGGCTCAGTGTTGTTTGACACCAAATCACTCGAACACCACCGGGCACCTGTACTGTGGGTCTGGGTCTCTCCCTTGGCCCGAGGAACATCATATTATGTCATCCTTATGTTCTGACCCTTCCTCTACAGAAGCTGACCGATTCTGAGTTCCAGCCCATTAGGAGACTAAAACTAATTTGATAAACTCATTCAAAGGGAGATGTTAATGGAGGGTGATGACTCAACTGGTGGTGAGGAAACCCCAAGGGGATCATCCTGAGCAGATGAATCCAGTCCCGGCTCAGAAAGGAACGTTGCCCAGAGGCACCTTGGCAGCCCCGGAGGAGGGACTCTGCATGGTTTTCTCTCGGTGGGGAAGACGGGGAGATTCTCAGAAACACAAGCCAAGCCCGGGGAGCAGGCACCAGCAGACCCCTGAGAACTGCATGTGGGAAATCCCTGGGTTGCCTCCTCATGGGCTATTTTTGCATTATTCTCTCCCCTCGTTGTTTCTCCTGGTGGCTAACAGACATTCAAACAAACAAACAGACAAATTCGTAAATGTTCATGCTTCTATTCAGCACCCAAGTCACCCCTAAAGGTAGCAAAGCATAGACACCTGGCGGGCGAGTCGTGAGGTGGGGAGGGGTGGGAGTCCAGTGGCCCTGGCCACCCCCTGGAGTTTCACCTTCCCCTGAGGGCTGGATCTGCCTCCCTTCCTCAGGCACAAGCTTGAACCTGCCTTTTGCCTTTCTTTTATCCAGCTGGAAAAAGCCTGGACTATACTGAGAAAGGGAAGAGGAAAATTAATATTTGTAACGTATGAACACAATTTACAAAACCTAAAAACACAACACTGAAAATGTATGAAACGGGGAGACACAACCTTCCAGAAAGATCTATCAGAATTGGGCAGCAAGTGGGGGAGGTGATAGTCACCCCAAATGAGTGTGTGTATTTATACAAGAACAATAACAAAATCCTTGAGAATGCCGCTAAATCCACAAAGGACTAGCTCCACTGCCTCACATCTGGGACAAGAAAATGGCACTTCGAATAACAAGACAAAACAAAACAAAACAAAAAACAATAAGAACAAAACCCAACAAATCAGAAACAAACACAGAGATTCATATACAACTGGACCTCTGAAAACCTAGTCAGTATAAACGGGGCGTGGGGGGCAGTGCTGCCTCTCCCACGTGCCCCCGGACCACCCCTCCCATCAGTGTGTGCTTTGCCCTTTCTCGGCTCAGCTCCCTGTCTTTTCCCTACCAGTGACTCACCAGTCACTTTGGTCTGTCCATTCAGCACAGATATGTGGCAGTCTCTTTGCTTAGCACTCTGCCCTGAGGATGTGTTGGTTGAAAAGACTAGTGTTACCTGCCCTTCTGGAGAGAAGGCAGACACTACACAGCCAATTACACAGAAATGTGATCGCTATTCATTTATCTGGCCAGTAATTGTATATTAGGCACCTATGTCCTAAGTGCTCCACTTGGTCCTATAAATGCAACAGGTGACAAAAATAGCATATTCTGTGCCTTCGTGAAACTTAAGTTCTAATCAAATATAATACAAGGAAACATAAAGCTGCAGAGCTGCAAGGGTGCGGCTGTATGACAGTAAATAACCAAATATATTTACATGAACCTAGAATTGGAAAAACTGGAGATCACAGAAAGGCTTCCTTGAGGAAGTGACTTGGGCTGAGAATCTGGAAGAGTCGTGTCGAAGAGGGAAGGTCGTTCTGGTTAGAAGAGACAGTTTGTGCAAAGTCCTGACAGGAAGCAACATGGCGGACAGGAAGCCTGGGTGGTGGGAGGGAAGGAAGAGAATTGGACGCATCCACAGGGTTTTTAGGAGGTAAACCTCTAAAGATCTTGGTGATCTGGGCTGGATACAAAAACGCAAAAGATGACTTGGGTTCCTGGTTTCCACGACTAGGAGAGAGCTGATGCCGCTCACACAGATAACAACAGTGCAAGAATAGGGGGTCGGATAGAGACCCGGATATTAAACGTCACATCTCACTTTCTGGATTTGGCAGTTGACGTAGGGCAGACTAGAAGAGGTGTGGCTTTGGGAGTTTGGAGACTGACATCCATATTTGAAAACATTGACTTTGAAGGGCCCGTCAAGTACCCCAGAGCAATTTCAGGTAGAAAGCTGGATGCACAGGTCTGCAATCTGCAGGGGAATGGCTTCAGCGTGGTACCCTGGCAACCTTGCACACATCCACCCAGGCAAAGGCACACAGGCGAGGCCAGAGCTAATCTGATTCTTTGCAGGAAGGCTTGCGACCTTCTGAGAAGTCAAGAGCAAATGTGCGTTGGCGTGAACGGGGCAGGACTTCCGAGGTGTGGGGGCAAGGACCCGTGCAGTGCTGGAAGCGGATGAGGATTCCATCTTCCAAGAATGTGGTCCCTGGAGTGACCGTGGGTCAGAGAGCACCATTCCTTTATGGGGGCCACAGGCAATAAGAATCTTCGGGGGCAAACCACGTGTCATCTTCAGTAAAGAGAAGCTATTCCTGATGGTGTCATCTGCCTCCTGCTGACGTCACGGGGAATAGATGGGCTGTTCACAGATGTGTGCGTGTGATGGCTCCCTGACCAAGAGGGAGCATGTCTGCCGTCACTCCCCCCAAGCCCCTCCCACTTCTGAGGATGCCCCGGCGCCCCCAGGCTTGCTCACTCAGGCAGGGTGACCTCCACGGGGCACGGCCCCCTTGCCTGGGCAGCCCGCAGCTTCTCCCAGCTACCGTTCTCATTCCCTGCTCCAGCACTGTGGCATTCACTCCCGTGGGCCAGTGCGGGAAGGACAGGGGCCGACTTCACATGTAAACGACATTCCTGTCGGGAGACACCAACGGCTGAGTGCTCCCGAAATAAAACTTCACTTTGATTCTGACACAGGAAAGTGAGGCGAAGACCACGTCCTCACAAGCTCCCCCGGTAGCTCAGGGCCACCCGAGCGGAACACGCGGCTGACGCTTACGCAGGTGACGTGGTTTCTGCAAAACAGGATCAGGCATCTCTTTAAAGTTGCCCACTGGAATGTCATTGGTTTTATACATTTGCTTCTGTTATATCTGCATTTTTTTGAGGCATAAGTATTTTAATGTTTGTACACATTTCAATAACATTGCACATCAACACTGGAATCTATTGATGATTCTTCTGGAAGGAGGGTCTTTCTGTCCGTCACTCTATGTTGAGAAATAGTGACACAAAGAAGCCCAGCAACACAGAAGTCTCAGCTGAAGCCCGATGATAGCCGCTGCCCGGGGCCACGCCTGGCGGGGCCTCCGCGTTTGCCCATGAGGCTGGAGGATGAGATCATAAGTCTTGGAGTCTTTGCTCCCAGTGCCTGGGAAAGAAGAATTCAGTTTTGCAAATATTG